GGGGGGGGGGGGGGGGGGGGGGGGGAATCTATGGCCCCTCACTTTGAATGGCGCTCTGCAGTGCCTGCTGATCTATCCGTCTATCCTCTTGGTCACATTAGTATATCTAGTACCTCCCAGCAATAACAATTAAACAGCAAATCCTATCACCTTTTTTGAGGAGCTGTACAGCTTAAGTGTGTGTTTACCTAGAAATAGCTCTTGCTGACGGGGAATTCCTTTTAATATCCTAGTGAAATTTGGTTTTGCTTTGATCAAGTTACAACTTGTTGAAAACTATATTCTGCACAATCAGAGTGTATTTTGCACAGGGTTCTTTTGTAAGTGTGTACATTATGTAGCCAAGGTTTAGTATTAAAAAGCATTGGGCCAATTCTTCAGTTGGTGTGTATTGTGTCTATGAAGCTACACTCATTCACACCAGCTGTGGATCTGGCCCATTGTGTAGTTAAATACTGCCTCGTAATGCATGCACATGGGTAAGCTTGAACATGCTGTGACAGTTCTTGACTTTTGAGTATCTAACTGTGCAGTCTTAGTGTTTTTAATATGGTTCTTTATGTGAAATTACAATTATAAGGTCATTTACAAAGCCATAATGAAATATAGTGTCTTATAACATTTACTGAAAAAAACCCCCTCTAAAACAACATATGCAGTTGTATATGTCAGATCCTATGTGGTTAGCAGCCAAGTACCACTTTTGGTTTATTATGTTGAGAAGTACAAACTAGAACTGACATTTAGGAGAACATGTACGGAAACTTTCCTTTTCAATTGAAAATAGAGGCTGTGTTGCTGATCTGTAGTCTTAAAATCAGCAGTTACCGTCTAGGGCAAGGGTTGTCTCACAGTTAATGTTTTGTGTTTCAAAATGTGCATTCAGGCTGCAACTGTTTCTTCTTTAGAAATTCAGAGCTAGCCATTATTGTATAGGAACGCAGGATTTTTTTTTACAGTTTCTAAAGTGTATCATTTAAAAGGCACAAAGAATTACTTTCTGCTCCTGAAATATTAAATGGTAGAAACTTTCTTTAAAGTGCAAAGTTGATAAATCATTCTTCATAAATAATGGACAGTCTAGCAGCTTTTGACTCTGATTATTTTCTGTTTGCTCCACTGTATTAAATACCATAAGATGATAAAAAGATAAATCCTGCATATCCCATGGACTTTTTTAAAGCACCCCACTCTTCCAAGCAGTTTTGAGGAGAAGGCTAAGTGCATATGTTGCGTTTGGCTTTTGGATCTGAATTTTTATTTGGTCTCATTCTCAAAGTGACTGACAACTTGTGAAATTAGGTTCCAGTTCAGCAAAGCACTTAAGCATATGCTTAAATCCAAATCCCAAATCAATGAAGCATAAGAACATGCTTTAAAATTCTGCGTATGCTAAGTGCCTTGCTAAATCAGGTCCTCCAAAACAGGGCAGCTGAAATATTAAGAGAACGAGATTGGTATCTGTCTGTCCCTCTTACCCATTGGCCTCAGTGTGTCCTGAATAGGGACTGGGGCTGTGATAGAAGAGGATATTTCACATTAGTTACTAGTCTTATATTACAGCTGTTGTTGTGGGAAAGTTTAGGTTAAGAGAGAGGTTTTGCAGTTGGACCTGAACCTGATAAGGCCCGCAGTAACTTTGATTTCCTCAGTAAGGGAGGTTCGTACCTTGGGATAGCTCTGTCTCATGGTACCATGTGTGTTCTACCAAGTTACCCTGGAAAGAGAGAGATGAGGTGGGCAAATCAATTGAAGGTCTTATCTAACCAAGATTCTCTCTCCCTCCCTCCCCCCCCACACGAGGGTCTGTGCATTGTGGGGTGCCATCATACGATAGCACCCCTAAATCTGCTGTGATAATCCTGCTCACGTTCCATGAGTCACTCGTGACACACCCATAGTAGCGGATTTGCCGACATTGTTGTGGTCCACATTACATGCATACATCATCCCAAATAGACTTAACTGAGAAGGCAGGAAGGGCAGACAGAACACTGAACTCCCCACTTCCTCCCCACCGGCCATGGGGTCTTGGGCACCCTCT